TTGTGTACTTCTACTTTCTGCATGGTTCTTATTCCCCACCTGTGGAGCAGCACCTCCGTAACCACCACCAACGGGACCAGAATAGCCTCCGCCACCACCAACTGGGCCTGAATAGCCTCCACCACCACCAATAGGGGCGGAATAGCCTCCACCACCGCCGCCGTAAGAAGATCCTCCATACGATGAAGCTGGAGGAGGTGGAGGAGCGGCTGCGTAACCTGCTGGAGCTCTAGGGTACGACGCAGCTGGGGCAGCATACCTAAAATTCATACCGTTCAAAGTTAGAATTTTTTCCGTTTTCCCTGATTTTTTCGTCCAAAAAAGCACCAGTAGCACCCTTAGGCTATTGTAATGTCTAAAGACCCGAAATGGTCATAAAAGTCAGCTGAACAAAGCTTCTCCGAATCGAAAATGGTGCGCGACAACGCGACAAAGTCGAGGCACCTGGCCGCGCGCGCGATCCTCATAACCTGACCACGCACAAGCGCAATGTCCAGTTTTTCTGAGCGCTCGAACAAGCTTGACGGTGTCAATTTGCCCTTGATCTTTCTGATCACCGGCTTCGGTAATGAGTTCCTTTGGCGCGCAGATGTTGCTAGGAATCGCTAAAGCTTGCTTGTTAGCGTTGAAAAGAAGATATTTCTCGACGGAGGAATGACCGTAGTTGGAACTAATCCAGCTAGCAATGACCTGCGCGATCTTGAAAAGGGTGTGAATGCTAAGTGCCCTTCTTGATGTTGCGCGAATCACTTTAGAGAATTGAAAGCGTTTCGTCATCCCTATGCGCATTAATCTTGACAATTGACGCTAATAGACAAAATAAAGGCGCTAGAACTTCAAAGCTTTCGAACTAATTTTTTGGTAAATGAGGTAAGACAATAAGCTTGAAAATAGACAAATTGTATTCCTCCTTGTTTTCTTCTTTACAAGACATTTTTTGAATACCGATCGATGGGAAAAGTTCAAAAATTTTCTTGATTTAAGGGAAAAGCCAAAAAAGTTGAGCAGCGAGATAGTCGTTTTTTCTGGTTGTAAGAAACTACATAAAAACTCAATGCTAAAGTATTAATGCTAACAGCAGAGCTAGCGACCTCTTGGCCATACCATACTAGACTTCAATAGCTACACGACTTGGCAATCGGCCAGGTTTCTTCTTATCCATTACTAATAGATTTTAGAAGCATAGTATGTAGATTTTCCGTGCTAGTAAAATTTCGTACAAAATTCAAAATGCAATTGATAGGAGATACAGACTCTTGGATCACTGCCAAATCGCTTGGCGAGTGAAATCGGAAGTATGGCAAGGCCTAAGATAGAAATTAAC